ATAATGGTTAACCTGATAAATATAAGGGTGAATATATTTAAAAAAATATATAGTTCTAGAACAAGATGGTTTTAAAATTTTGAAAAAAAAAAAATTTGAAAAAAGTCAATAGCTTTTGAAATAATGAGTGTTATTTGATAAAAGAATCACCCTGTATATATATATTCATGATTAAAATTAATCTAACTAAAACTTATGTTTAAATATATTATTTTTGTAGTGGTTTTTACTTTACATTGAATTCCTCCGTATTTGTTAAAAAGTGTCTTATTAGATTATCGTACTTCACTTTCCTCACCATAAAATCAAAGATACATTTCGTCAACTTTACATCATTTCTTGGATCGTGAGCATACGTTAATCAATGTTTCTTATTACATACCATCCCGTGTGTTTCCTCTAAATTCAATAGTCTTCCTGTTTTTTTTGAATGTACCAATTTCGTACTCGAAGATCGTCATTTTTGTGTATACATTTTCTAACAGTATGCTAAAATTKCCATTGAATTTAGTGTCATAACACGTTATGTTTAATATTGTGAACCTATTTATGTCCAATCTTTTTAAAAGTTTAAATCTCAACTTCCGTTCCAAAGTACTACTACATTAGTTGTGTCTCCTTTCGAGATATAATTTTCAATGAATGACGGACTTAGTTGTTTAAAGTTGATTTCAAACTTTTGTCTAGTTGTTCTAGACAAGMGTTTTGCAGAACCACTTTGCACTTAAATATTCTTTTTATCTCCTTCATGGCCAACAGTAATTCATGATTTTTCATTGGTCGTACCACGTCATGAAGTGGCAAGAGGAGTGGTCTCCCTTCTAGTTTTCGTACCTTACACTTGTCCAAACTATTTGATATTGCCCCTGATATTAACACCATACTCGTCCTATTCACCATTGAAAACTCTAAGTCTATTATCACGAAATTGTGTGACCTTTTTCTGTTACAATAATATTTTCTTTGTATAATTTATATTTATATTTTGGTTTTATTTATATATATAATTCTAAATTTATTATTATTATTTTTACTCAGTTATTATTTATTATTCTATTATTTAACATTTTATCATCGGTGGATCATTTTTTACTTTTTTATTTTCCATAAGTGGACTCACATTTGTATGTTCTTTTATCTCTGCACATGGGGTTTCCATATAGAATTTACTTATATTTCTTGGTTTCTCTTTGTTCCGTAACGTGATTGTCTATATGATTCCCAATTACCCTGTAGTGATCCCTCACTAACGCCTATATTTGAGTTCAACGACGTTTCAAAAACTAATTCTCCATAAACTAAAAACCCGTTCAACACCATGCACGGTGCCTGATCAGCCCTACATCTTAACGCTGAGTAGTGTGTAACTACATAATGTGTTTCTAATTAGTATAAGCTGAGGGTCCGTATATGGGCTCCTTAGCTTTTCATTTGTTGCCCTTAAATGATACCTTAAACATGGTGGGTTGGCATACTGTTCTGGGCTCATCGTGTTCTCATGCAAGTGCTCTTGCATGATTTCTGTCAGAGTGGTTAAGAATTGGCGGATGTTTTCTGGATTGACTGGTCGGCTCATACTTTATTTGTTATATATATATTTTTTTTTTTTCTATAAATTCGTAACTTGAACCCTAGGGATCACTACACTATGATTGCCATATTTTTTTTTTATTTTATAGATATTTATTAATTGGTAAATTATGATTGTCCCTAATATTATACTTAATACTATTATTATTTTAGAATGCATACCACTCGTGTTTTGTAGCGAAGTTCTATCTTTTTCCTCCTGGATTGCAGTTTCTAATTTCTCGATAGTCTTGGAAAAGTCACTAATGTCGTTCAACTTTATTATGGGATTTTGGTGATTTAATAAACTATTGATCTTAGCATTGTTTACTACTGGGACTTTAAASGTGGAAGATATGTCGACCGGTGGAATGAAGTCTAGATTTAAAACCTGATTTGACTTCAAGTGTCTACTTGGTGTTAGCACCACTTGAGGTGTGTGCGCCCTACAATGTTCGTCTATAGTGAATATCCCCACTCCCTTTAATTTTATGTTTCTTATATTGTCCCTCTGATCACAGGTGATTGTCACGTCATCCATCGTGCTTATTATATAAATCCACTTATTATGATTTTTTAGCTTATGATAGATGCTACGAGTGATATTCAAATATTTTATCGCGCAAGTTCTCAGAATTATTGTTGGTTACATGAATAATTCTATTTCACACGGTAACCCCGCCGACCCTAATCACAGTGGTTGCGTCTCGGAACACAATGTCATGCTTACTAATTCTCGACAGCTAATTAAGTGGTTGACGGATATCGTCAGATAGTACTCACCTCTATCGTAGAACTCGTGCACCGTTCTTCTAACGACATAAGACAAATAGATAACATATCATTTGTTAATATTATTATAGGTGGACCTTGGGCGGCGGAGTCACCGTAATATTTTATTTTGATACGTGTCGTATCGCCGCCTAACAGTTATTTTAACTGTTCGATATGCGATGCTCCGTAATTGGGTTCGTTCCAAATGTAGTGATTCCTCACTAACGCCTATTATTTGAGTTCAGCGACGTTGGATTGACAATCAGGTTTTTCAAAGGAGACGATGGTAGAGTTACAAGTTACACAATGTTAAAATATTAAGTATTTTATTGAAGTAAAAATATAAAGTTATATAAATTTGAGGACAGAACATAAAGTATCTGCCCGAGAAATTAGTAGAGGGCTCGACCTTGTTTGGTGAAAGACCCTAGCGGCATTGACGCTATGACCTGTTTCGTGTTGCAGTTAATCAATTGTAAGTAAAATTCTCCGTCCATATTTACGTCCCATCCTCTTAGCGTGAAGGTTGGTTTATTTATTCTAAGTTGTTGTAAGATTTTAACATCCGTACTCCCCTCCCATAATACTATAGTTTCGTAATATTTTAGTAAGTTCTGAATTTGTATAGTTGGTAGATTTGGTCGAGTGGTATGGTCGGAGTCGTAGATCTGCGCTAGCACGGGTAATAAAGTGTTTGGTTTATTTTTAAATAGATTAACT